AAAAAAAAAAAAAGGAGAGGAGAGAAAACCCAGGGCAAAAACACACCAGAAAAATAGCAGGGAAATTTACAGGAATGATAGGAACTTACACATATTGATTGAAGAAATGAAAAGACGGAGAACACCGAAGAAATTGTCGGAGGGAGTCGCACGCCGCGGTCGTCTGGTGCTTTATTACCAGAGAGGGAGAAGCTTCAAGAATGCTTTGGTGCGAAAAGTGTAGAGGAGAGAAAGGAGCGGATATTTATAAAAGGGACGGCCGAATCCCATCCGTTAGATTAAAGTGGAAATTAACGGCCCAGATGAGGCACAAAATTCAAAGCGGTGGAAAAATGATGAGGCGGCGTGTCAGACTCAAATTCAAAATTCAAAATTCAAAAGAAAAGAAAATCTCAAAGTAGAGAATCGAACCGTAAATATCCAAACCGAATGGCGTTTCAGCGACATGGCGAGGAAAATATGATGACGAGCATATTAAGTCAACAATCGGACTATTTAATCTACTCTTAAGCTCAAAGTCGCTTAGAGTAATTATCGGGGGGGGACTAGATGATATAGCCCTATTAGCATAACCCGGTTCAGATGCTAACGACCCCTCGATAAATGTTGTCGACGACCCAATCAAGATGACATATACGAAGTCGTCCGGGTCCAGTGCTCATCGTTCTCTATCCAGGGACGATCCCAGGACAATTTATGGAAGTCGACGGGGTATAGGTCGACTTCCATACTAGAAGACGAGCAGGCATTCATAGGACCTTAGACGTACAAACATGATCTTAAGGCGATTCGACGATGCCCCAAGTAGACCCAAAGGGCCTCCAACGATTAGCATTCACCGATACCATAAGGTCTCCTTAAACTAGGGAATCTACGTGGGATAAGAAGGAATCTAAATGCTGACTCGGGAGTGTGGAATGAAAACCGACCAGGGAAATTTGGACACTTCATGTAAGTCGGCCAGGGCATTTCAGACATTTCCCAGTAAGTGTTTCTACCCTTATATAAAGGAGCTTAGGTAACTCTAAAACCCTAACTTCTGATTCTTCACTTTCTCGGCTGTTGCTCTTACTGAGCAGAGCTCATCTTGGCCATTTTCACTGACTTGAGCGTCGGAGGCTCTTCACCGGAAACATCTCCGGTGTTGAGTTTTTGCAGGTGTTTGCAGCGAATCAGAGACGGTTCAGAGGCGATTTAAGTAGATCGGAGCTCATTCATCGGTTCATCTCGAATCTAGAGGAGGACCGCTCAAACCTAATCTAATCTTTAATGCTGCAATAATTTAAAATTTTACAAATCATAATTCAAGAGACTCGCATGTCTCGATAAATTACATTCATTCAATCATATCAAATAAAAATGCAATCATTTTGTCATTATGAATAAAAGACTCATGATCATCCCTAGATTAACCATTCATCACATGAATTCAACCACATAAATTCACTAATTTAATAGGTTGATATAGTAATGACTCATATTAAGTCAAAACAGCTCGTTTCTGACCACAAGATCAGTCACACGACTCGTGTGGATAACTCACACGACTCGTGTGATAAATACGAGAGTGACATTGAAAAATCTGGGAAAAAATTTATGTCACACTGTTAGAGTAGTATACCCGGCGTTCCAATCTGATTGGATGTATTCTACTTGTAAATACAATCTATTGGAATTATATTAAATAAAAGGCATTACTTTATTTTAAGAGTAAGTATTTATCATATATTTGCACTTAAGATAAAGTCCTTAGATCACATAGAGCTATAAGATATGGTTGCGCATAGAGATGGTGATCATGGAACATATCTTGAAAGT